CTAGTGCGGAGGGTATCACAGACACACCCCGCCCCACTCACCCAGGCCTTCAAGTGAGCGATTTTGAATTGGCCTCGGAAGGTATCACAGACAGTGCACAGACACAGCCAACCCTCGACGTCGACTATCTGTATATAAATCCCAATTACCCTACTGACGATGACACCACAATACAATATTCAATCCCAGTTCCACCGGCTTGTAGATATCCAAACCATTGTCCATCTCATTCAAATTGACGCTCGGAAGGTATCACAGACAGACACTGACACTCAATCCTACTTTAGTACTTACGACTCCACAAATTCAATCCGGTCGCGTGCCAAAACCACTGGCATTGTCATTGGTTGCCGCCACGGTCAGGTCCACCGCTCGGATTTGCGGCGTAGCATCGGCATCTAAAAAATGATAAATCAAATGATGGGACAACGAGTGACGTCACTAACTCCGATCACTGATAAATTGCCGATTCCGATTCCGAGTTGCCGAGTGCTCCGACTCCGACTCCGAGGGCCGACTTACCTCCTCCGCGAGTCCGTGCCTTGTCCATCCGTGGTCCGTGATGATGATGAACCCGGGTTCTTACGCGAAGTCGCAGTGAGGGAGAAGGAAGGATGTTATGATTGTTCAAGCGCAGTGTTGGTTTTACGGTACGACGTCGAGACAGACAGACAGACAGCAGACTAGTATAGTGTACACACTACTTTTACACGAAAAAGAAAAAAGAAATGGATGAGAATGAGGGTGAATAGAAAATGGAAATGGAAATGCGGATGTAATGATGGGTGGTTGTGGTGGATGCGATGCCATGGGTGGAATGAGGAAAGAGGGTGATGAGGATTAAATATCGTAAATAGTCTGGAGAAAAAGACCAGGAAGAGAAGGAGCGTGGTTGTCGTGTCATTATCGGGGCATTATGGAGTAAATTGGACTCGAGAGTGGGTAGTGTGGGGTGATATGGATGGATAAGTCAAGTGAATGGATGCTGGAGGTAATTGAGGATATGCGATTGGTTTGATGAGTTTGCGTGCTGGGACCAAGAAAGCGAGCGTGCGTGCGATGGAGGATGATGATGGTGATGTCATGCGCATTCGTCGTCGTCGCGACGGATCTCGCAGCGTCTCCCTCCGCCTACGCCTCGACGCACACGACACTCGACAGCCCACTCTTCACATACTCCCTCGGCCCATCAGCAGAGCGCCTACGCATCGGCTTGCCCACGGCATGCACGCGGTTGAGCAGGATGCCCGCTACGAGGCGCGAACGTGCGTTGCGGTCGAACTGGGGTTGGGGTGGCTGCTGCGGTGGGGGCGGCGCCGGGGCGACCTCCTGTGGGGGCTGTATGCGGAGTGGAGTATGGGATGTGATGCGTGGCGTGCGGTAGAGCACGGGATCAGCAGCAGAGGCTAGGGAGCGCCGGGGCAGCGGGTCGACAGAGTAGCCGTCGGAGAATGGGTCGAATTTGATGCTGGCTGGTGGGGTCACGCGGGGCAGGGCGGGCGGAGTGCGCCGGGGCGGGCCACGGAGGGAGACGACGGAGCGGCGGCGGGTGTACGGGGCGGAGTTGCCGCTGTTGCCGCCGTCGTAGTTGGTGATGATGCCGCCGAGGTTGTGGACGAGGTTGGCGTGGGCGGCGGCAGACGTGCCGGCGTAAGACGGAGCGGACCACGTGCGGGACGACGAGGCGGCGGCGGCGCGTCCGCTGTTGAGAGTAAAGTCTGTGTGGATGGTGCGGATGTAGTGGGACATGGCGAGGTGGTGAGAGTAAGCTCACGCTCAGCTGATGATCGCTCTTATACCCACGACAGAGAACAATGCCCCGGCGCGTTGCGGCAGGGCTGATGCGGGCCCACCACGTGCACTGCACAGCCGCAGCCTGCGCGCCGTTCCAGAACTTTCTTTCTTTCTACTCGAGTACAATGTATTATGTCTGTATTATGTCCAACACTTACTTCGACTTCTCTTCCTTCAATTCCGAATTCGAATACAGTCATATGACCCGCGATGCAATTGCAACTACCCCAATATTCTCCCAGAATAAGTTCGCCGTGCACGGCACCTGCCCTTCATTGTCAATTTGCCTTCCCTCCGACTCAGGACCCTACCAGAATCCAGTGTCCACATGCACCAGTCTCGGAATCGGATCGCGGCGCAGACCCAGCCAAGGGCCCTCCATCAGCTGACATCTTGTTTTCGATGGCCCCTGGAACAGCCCGCTGTCGTGTGTCACTGTCAAGCTCGCGAGCAAACTGGCGTTGCCAATCGCAGATTCCCAATCAAAACAGACTCGCCAATGCTAGCGCTCGCCACTCGGGCTGGACAAATCTCGTTTGAGCCTTGCACGCCTACTACACCTGTTAGTACTTACAAGCGATGTCAATGCGAGTCTATATCCGTCCTGTATGTACCCCGACTGTTACAGAATCTGCCTTGAACGACTCTCAATCGAATCTGTCCCTCCTGAAATATTCTAGTACTGATCGGCACCTCTACGAGTCATACCGTCGGCCCTTGTTCCTTCCAAGTAACTGTTTAGCACTCCCTCCCTGCCTACTCACATCCACACTCATATAAATAGGCATATCACACTCGGCTCCAACTTTGCATTGTCCTCCCAGCGCGGATAGCCAGCGCACCCTACCAGACCCTACCTCACTTACATCTTACATTGTCCTCTCCCGACACGTGGATGGTGGGCTGGTTACAGTCACAGCTTGTTGCGATGGACTCAGGCTTACTTACGACCGACTGAGGACGACGACCCGGACCCGGCGGCGGACCCGGTTTTCTCTCATGGCGTACTAGGCGTATGTAGGCGCACACCAGGCCTGCTTCTCCCACCATCTTTCCTTTGCTGGGTCGCGCCTCAACGCCTCGCCTCGCCTCGCCACCTCGACAGTCGACTGTTCAATATTCAATTCTCAAGCTTGCGTCTCGCCCATGCACACTGTTCGGACTCTACATGACATCTCGACTCGCCACCTCGACAGTCGACTGCTCAATTCCCAAGCTTGCGCCTCGCCCATGCACACTGTGACTCAACATCTCGAAGGCCGACAAAGGATGGACTCGAGTCATATCATAACCTCACGACGTGTATGAGTCCCTCCGACCTCGAGACGCGGCCCTGGGTTCTGTAGAGCTTACACTCATTGCACCTCACGTCGGCGGCCACGACATCGACGAGGAGACGATCGAGTCTCGACAAAGACGACGCCCCGAACCCGATTTTCTCTCATGGCAGAACTCCGGCTCCGGGTCTCGTCTCGCCTCGTCCCGCCGATCCCAGACTGCTCGTAACGGGAAAAGGCGATTCCAAGTTCTCCAGTGTCCCATGTGCACATCCCCATGATCAATTGCCGACGCCGCTTTGAGAACAAGGATGCCGGTGGTATGGAATGACTCACATGGAATGGTCGTCGACGTCTCGCCACTGCACCATGCTACTCCTAATCAACTCTAGCACCACATACGCCAGTAAGTCGTGACTCTCCCATCTAGGATTGCCATGGCGCTTATGTAACAAGGGATGGACAGCCCGCATGCCCTCGAAACGGGGGTGGGTTCTTTCGAAGCTGGAGAGTACAAGGAGGACCGGGAACGGGGACTCAAGTGTAAAGTACAATGATCACCGACGACCGTATGCTTCCTATATGTTATCATCGCCACCTTCGAGTCTATTCTTCAACTGAGGCTTCTGTTCAATTGTCTTTGTATTTGTCCTGAGTCTATATTAGTCCTGGGGCCTGAATCCTGATCTCCCGTCGCTTATTGTGTGCCAACCCATGGTCTAAGAAGTTCGAAGCGCGCACTCAAAATGCGTACCCAAGGAATGTACAATTGTACAATTGAAGTTGAGCGATGGGATAATGATGAACAAGGACACCCTCAAGTTCCAAGGTCTCTTCCAGTTCTCATGCTTCTGTCCTTCAGGTTCTTCCTCCTTCGTCAAGTGGTCGAGCGGCGCCTTTCGAGTGAACATTCTTCCCCGTTGTGACTATAATGATACATGCGATATGTACAGTCGCATTTCTGCTCCCGTTCGTTTAATGAACAAACCTCTCGAGAACCTGAAAAACTACATTTGACCTAATTCAGAACAGCAGCATGGCGCAGTTGGAAGCGCGCGGGGCCCATATCAGAACAATTTACTGAACATAAGTACCCCGAGGTCACTTGATCGAAACAAGTTGCTGCTATAT